GGTTCACTCATCAGCACCTCAGTATCCATCTCACCGCCTCCCATCTTAAATTGTCATATCATCATTCCCAGGTAGCTGGGAATCTATTCATCCAACCAAGGATTTCGGTACAAACCTATTAGTGGGATGACCTCAGTTATTTCACCTGAGCTGTTTTCTGTCTGTGAAATGGGGATGAGTGTTTTAGCGCCCTCACATGGCTGATGTGAGGAATTAGTACAATTACATGTAGCATATCTCCTGGCGTAGAGTAAGGATGTTAAAATAGATTAAATATAGATATGTAGATACACTTGCTTTCCTATGATGGCTTCCGTGATGCCATCATTTCCAGAAAGGTCTGCCTCCTCAGGGAGATGCTGATGCCTGCAGGAGTACCTAGCTCTCTCATTCTAAATTAATAAATTCACATTTTGGTTTTAGGCATCTGTCTTTGAGCCCAATTAATATGCTTCTATTACCAAGACAAGGATCTGGTTTTGGCTGCATATAAAATGAGTTTCCTGAATCCACAAGGCTGAGGGCCCGACCTAGGACCAGAAAATTCTCCAAGTTAATAGCTATTCCCTGACAAACCTCCCAGGAGACTGCTTGCCACCCTCAGGACAACTGGTCACCTTTCTATTTAACACCCCTGGGTTTGCTGCCTCTTTTCCCATTTGGAATTGTTTTACACTGAGCACAGGGGTTCACAGATAGTAGGGGTTCAGGACCGGCTTGTTTTGTCAGCATGTGGGTGGGTGGAGTGGACGGTTGAGTGGGTCACCGGGAATGTGTGCCTCTTCTTGGGCGGGGAAGAAGCAGTGGTGGCCTAGCAACAGGGGAATCTGCCTAGCAACAGGGGCAGGAGGCGGGGCCTGATGGAATCCTGTAGAATGGCTGACAGAAAGGCAGACTGGGAAGGAAACCTTTCTGGGTCTTGTCAAGCTGGGGTCTCGAGCCAAGAAGAGAAAGCAGGCCCAAGGGGATCAGGAAAGAAGCGGGGGAGGCGGGGTGGAGTACAGTCAGCATATTTGGAAACTACAGACCCAAACTGGAAAAAGATTTGTGCCTTTCCCAACGTGCACTGGAGCAAAGAGGCACTCTCCCCACCCCACCCCACCCCAACTGTCACATGCCCCCAAGTGGACAAACTTGCAGAGCAGACCACCTTTTTGACACTCCAGCTTGCAAGGGTACAACAGAAAAGCTCTTCCACGGGCTGTCAAATCTGGGATTTGTTCATTTTAGAAGACCACAGCCCCCACCCACAGAAAGGATCAGGACCTGCAGTCATTTAAAATCAATCCAGAGGCAGATTAAGCAACTTCCCAACCCAGTCTGTCTAGGGCAGCCAGGAAGGGCTCAGGCTGGTCTGGCTTGGGTCCCTTCTCTCTCCTCTGCTTTCTACCCATCACGAGATAAGAACGTGGACCTCCCCTCCTGTGAACTTTCAAGACCCTCCCCTGAAGAGAAGAAAATTTGTCATCAGCCTTTGACCTGATTAATAATTAAAACTGCTGAGTCTGAGCTGCCCCTAACAGCGAGGTGCTCCAAACCCCCAGCAAACTTTAACAAATAACTGGCCCGCTGAGGGGAGAGAGGAAGCTTTTTTCACTAGACAAACTGACAATTAGCTGCTATTCAAATCCCCCTCTAGTCTTAGCATCTTGGTTCTCCTTTGAAAGTGGCTCGGCATGGGGTAGAATTTTTGGCCTTGAGTTTAGAACTACTGTGCATAAAATCAAAGCAAGGAAGCCAGCAGTTGAGAGAATAGAGGCTATTTGGGGATTAGTGATTTCGGAGTTAGATTTCTAATAACTTGGTGAGTGGTGGGTTAGGAATGTCCTCCAGGAGCATCAGGCAGTCAACACCGTGGGACATGTCCTCACATTGAACTGGAAAGCAGTGAGTCACCACCCTGGAGGGCGGAAATACAAAATGGCATGAAATAACTGCAACTCAGCAGCGCTGCATGGTAATCTGCCTTTTGTAACCGCTGCAGGCTGCATCCAGTGCTTATGATCTTGGGGTTACATGTGAGACCCCAAGTTTGGCTCAAAGTTTTCTCCCTAAAGAGCCACAAATACAAGACCCCCCCCTCCCATTTGAACCATTTTGGAACAAAGGGAGGAGAGTGGGTAAGATGGAAGAAGGGAGAAGGGAGAAGGAGGGGGCAGGCATTCAAACTGCTCATTTTCCCCTAGGAAGCATAAGGCCCAGCCACTACGGTGGGTGAGCAAAGCAAATTGGTAATGGGTGATCCAGATTGCATCGCAGAGTCTTGCCTGCTTTCCAGGCACTTACTGAACTTTATAACTCTTTTGGGGGTAAGGCACAAAAACCCAGGATTTCTTATTGACCAGTAGGGGAGTGGGAGCTAAAACTAACTGGCCCAGGTCTTCTGCTTTTCCACAATACTATTCTTGTATTCCAACAAGAGACTTTTTTTTAATATATTTTTTACAGGGGGATGGGAGCTGGAAAGGCATGATGTGAACAACAGCTGCAGGCACTTTCAAGATTGCAATAAGCCAGCCTAGATAGCACTAGAAAACTCGTCTTTTCGGTGATGGAGAAGACAGAAGACAGAGGTAGGAAAATGGTTGCTTATTCTAGGCACCCTGAAGGGGAGTTCTGTAAGGATAAATTTCCGTTTGATTCTTTTTGCTTTATTTGGTGTGTAACTTACAAAAAATAAAGTGGATGGTTCATAATGTATGGTTTGGTGAATGCATAGATTCGGCACTAAGAAAATCAAAAGTAAAGCTTGACCACCACTCCAAAAGTTTCTCTGTGTCCCCTCATACTCAATATGCATCTCCCCCAAGTAGCAATATTCTATTCTATCTTTATGTAAGTTTACCAATTTTTGAACTTCATACAAAGGAGATCATAGAGTATGTACTCTTTTGTATCCACCTTCTTCTGCTTAACATATTATCTGTGAGATTCATCTGTATTTTATAGGTATCAGTAGTTCATTCTTTTTCACTGCTGTGTGGTATTCCACTATGTAAATATATCACAGTTTAGCTCTCATTCTACTGTAGGGACATTTGTGTTACTTCTGGTTTTTGTCTATTTTGCATAAAGTTACTTTAATGTTCTTATACATAACTTTTGGTGGATATTAGTAGTTCCTCCTGTTGGGTATGTACCCAAGAGTAGAATTGTTGGAACATTTATTTGTAAAAAAATTAACTGTAGTCAAAGACAGTAGAGACCATGTCTGTCTTCTTTACTACTATATCTCCAGAGATTGTCACAAAGAATATTGATAAACATGTCAGTTTTTCCAAAACTGAAGTACATATTTGATGCAATTCTAATTAGACAATAAGAAAGTTTTGATTTGGGAAGGAAACTGAGCAAAAAAAAATGGAGAAAAAAAGAAATGCTTTCAAATGGCAAATATAAATGTGTAACAGAAAAATAGAGAGTGAGATTTGTCTTACCAGATATCAGAATGTACTATAAACCCACTGTAATTAAATCAATTTTGTATTAGCATGGGAATAGATATATTTATCAGTGGAATAAAACAGAATACCCAGAAATAGACCAAGTGTATATATGAGAATTTACTATTTGACATAGTTGATATTTCAATTCCATGAATAAGGATGGATTATTTAATAAATGGTGTCGAGACAACTTCCATCTGGAAGAAAAAAAAACTGTACTCCTATTTTATACCACACACAAATATAAATTTCATATACACTAAAGTCAAATGTAAAAGATAATAACAACCTTGAAAATTTAGGAGGCTGCAGAATCAATACAAGGGCACGGAGGCGGAGTTTTGTGAAACAAAACTGGAATTCAGAAGCTATAAAAGAAAATACACATATATTTTACCATGACAATTTCAAAAATCCCTTCTATGGCCATAGATAAAATAAAGTCAATAGGCAAACAATAGATGGGGGGAACATTCATAATGTATAGGACAGATGGATAATTAAAATTGACAATAAACAAAAACACTTTATAAATGGACAAGAGGGAGGCAAATGACCCAATGAAAAGTAGGCAGAAACTTAGAAGGCACCTCACAAAGGGCATACTTAAATGGCCAACATGCACAGAGGGGAAAAGCTTTAAATTATTAGTATTCAAAGAGATGCAAATTAAAGTACAACCAGCCTGTTCTGCTCCCCACTCTGTCTCTGGTGAATCCTCTCACCCCCTGCACCTCTGGCCTATACCCCAGTTCTTGTATGCATAAATAAATAAATCTTATTTTTAAAGGGTTCCTTTATGCACTGTGTATGTATGTATAGAAGCAAATTTATTCTTAGTTCAAAAAAAGAAGAAAGATATATTGAGCCTCTGTACACACCCAGTTCTTTGCCAGACTCTTAGGAATAGAGAAACGTGTGAGATATGGTTTCATTCTAACTTCCAGCTGGAAATAGAAAGGAAACAGTCACAGGGCAATTTATTATCTCCCATTAGGTGTGAAATAAATACCATCATTGAAGGAGAGGTAAAATGAGGGCAGGGGGAAGAATACCCCACAAGGGAAGGCTTTTTTTTTAAACCCTCTTCTCCCAAGCTTGCTGCCAGACCTAGTGTCCTTCACTTTCTCTTGGTGGGACCTAGGGACTCCCCTGCTTTTGTCTCCTTAGATAAGTGCCTTTGCCAACTTCCTCAGCTCCCCCTTCCTCGCTGCCCCCAAAGACAAACATTTTATTTTTAAGTTTTTACTCCTTTACTGTTTAGTCACCATGGAGACAGACATGGGACAATAAAGAACACAAATGGGGAGTGCACACAGTAAGGAATCATATAGGCGCTTCAAGATTTGGTTCCCCGGCTTGGCTCTTGGGACACTTCTAGTAAGGTCACTGCAAACCCTCACTGAGTGCCAGTCTGCCCTTCCTTCTCTCCCAGTGTCTGTCTCTCCCCTCTGGCAGAGACCTAGAAGCAAGACCTATTGTGACTTGCCATCAGCGTCACCAGCCATCAGCTACCTCGAAGGGGGCTGCTCTCCCAGGCCTCTCTTTGACTGGCTTTTGGTGTCTAACACAACAAAAAAGGAGGCCAGACAGGTAATCTGTGTGTCTCCAAGTCTGGGATTAGCTAAAGCCCCAGTAAATCCCAGCTCCAGACCCTGATGAATTCTCTACCCAGAGAAGCCTCTCAGCCAGCCAAAGTCCCTCCTCACCCCCCAACCCCTAGCTCTGCAATCTCCTCACTATACTTTAACTGATAACGTCCACATTTTACCCTCACCCTGCTTGCCAGAGTATTTACATGAAGTTCTGAATCATGTGAGGAAATGGCCAGAAGACCTGTTTACAAAGGAAAAAGAGGTAGGTTTTACTAGAGGGTCTGCTGTCATACTAACCTCAGGGGCTCAGGCCACACTGCGAGAGCAAAAACCAGAGTTTGGAATCTTAATAGTCAGATGAATGCCTACCAGGCCTAGCTGGACAAGGGGATGGGCAGAGGACAGAGGTGTCAGCAGAAGAACACGAAGAAATCCTAGGAAACTGCGGTGAATCAAGTATGAGGCTTCAGGCTGGGTTTGAGGGGGGACATTTTGCCACCAGATTTGACCACAATATGTCAGTAGTAGAAAATGGAGCATAAGATCTCACACAGCACCTCACTGATACTCCAACAAGATCTAATGGTCCACAAACTATTGATATAATACCTTGATTTTGGTTTTTTAAAAAGATTTATTTATTTATGCATATAAGAACTGGGGTACAGATTAGAAGTGCGGGGGGATGAGAGGATTCACCAAAGACAGAGTGGGGAGCAGCATAGGCAGATCTACTGAAATACACTGCTGAGCGGAGCAGGGGGCGAGTCAGGAGAGGTCTGTGCCATGTGGGTAGCTCCCTGGACGGGAATCGAACTAGTGCTGCAGTGGCTGCGGATAGCTTCATAGGTTGCGCCCCAACCCCTTGCGCCACCAGGGAGGTCCTGATTTTGATTTTAATCTTTATTGTTTTCCTGATTAAAAAGGTAACAGACATATAACAGGTAGAAACTAAAATTCTCTTCTTCAGAGATAACAACTTTTAAGTTGAGGTATATTTCTCCAGATTGCTTTCCGTGGATATATGAACTTTTAACATACATGCATGTTTATGTGAAGTTTTACAAAATTTGCATGATAAACTCATAGGTAGACTTAGAACTTCAACAACCTCAAGTTGGAGATCATAGTCTTGATTTTCCTTTAATGACCATTTCAGTACTTTTAAAATATATATCCAAAACTTTTTGATTGTTTTCTTAGGGATCTGACTTACAAAATGGGAAATCTCATACTACATACAATATCTGTTGTCTTGCAACGTGGTTTTCTCTTTCCCTATAAGATATGTCTTGTACATCTGTCAAGATCAGTATCTAAGGCTATTGTGGTTGGCAGAAGTGGGCTCCCCTCCAGAGAAAAATAGGATCCTTCAAATGCTGGTGCCTGTAGCCAAGTCAGGACATTGGAGAGATTTCGTGGCTTAATACATTTGCGTTATAGCCACTGACAAGGAATTTTCCTCCAGACTCAGAATTGAGTTCATAAGTGACTGAACTGCCTTTAAATCTTTGTGGAAAAAGAGATAAGATATGAATAAATAACTAAATTCACTCATTTATTCACAGCTAGTTCAACTCAGGAGCAGCACATGTTCTCACCGGATAAAGGTAAAAATGAGAAAATTCCTTAGCACATAAAGTTTTTCCTTTATGTTGTCACTGTTAGAGAATTTAGAATTGAACTATGTCATATATTATTATCTCACTATTACTTAAATATGGTATTTTGTTACTGACTTCTAATTCTGTTACATTCGGACAGAGAATTTGATTTGTATGCTAGCAGTTCTTCGGCATCTTGAATCCTCTTGTGACTTAGAATATAGTCATTATAAATATTCCATGTGTGTAGAAAAAGGAGGTATATTAAGATTGCAATTTTGTTCACTATACTGGGGGGAGGAAGAAATCAAATCGTTGGAGTCCATATTTCTATTTGAAATTATCACTGAGGGGACAAGTGTCCAAATTTTCTAAATCCTGATATTTGCTGCTGAAACTCTCAAATGCTTTTACAAAAAAAGAATTGTTAAAAATATAACTGGTTTTGGGCTTTTAAGCAAAGATTATAAAATTAAAAGAAGTAATTCCCTGATACCGCCCCTAAGTCCCAATCCCGGGACTGGGGGGTGGGCGAGGGTACCATTAACAGTTCTTTGTATCTCCTTTCAGTCACCGTCTATGTCCATGGAATATGTAATCCCATAAACTCTGCCTAACCTTTAAAAGAAACAGCATATTGAAGTGGCATTTTACTGTGTGCCTACTATTAGGCACTTTGCTTTTTTTTCATATTTTTAAAATAGTCTTAAGGCTCTTTGTTCTTTCTTCACTTTACATATCTCTGTACCTTTTCATAGCAGCACATTTATAGCCTCTCCATTCTTTTTAAGTGGCTGGCTGGTATTCCACAGCCATGCTGTTCCATCAGTTATTCATCAGTCCCCTATGGATGAAGACTTAGCTTGGTTTGAATTTTCTGTCCCAAACAATACCGCTGTGAGCAACCTTCCTTCACACATGAGGTTGCTGCTCAGCCTCGGTTCTTTTTCAGGACCAACTGCTCGTTGAGTATCTCCCCCTAAAGCTCTCCTTGTTAAAGTATTTCAAGCTGCTTCCTCTCCTTGGAGGCTGCCACACCAGCCACCTAGTTAAGCCTGGCTAAGAAGCTGCATGTAGTTCCCTAAGCTCCCCCTTCTGCTAGTGCTGCTCTTGAAGACCAGCAAACAGGCCTTTTTGGTTTAAGTGTTCTGTGCCATCACTCCACAAAGCAAGCAGGGACTAACAATAACAAACGTAGGGTGGCACAAAGCTTAGGTAATTTTTCCTTTAGTAGTCCCCGGCTCTGTTTTCTGTCTACCTAAATAAACAGTAAATGGAATGCCTAATTTTCAAAGTTCACCGCCCCCATATCTGAACCCCTAAGAAGGAAAAGTCAAAACTGATTCTTTTTGTCATCGTAGTCCCTTTCCCCCAGTCCAAAAGTGTCTTCATATTTCAGAGATTGCTTTATGGCTCTGAGAGCCCTTAGACTGGGCTCCCGACCCAACGGGTCTGTGACCTGTCAGCTCTGATCACCCAGGAACATTTGTTTCAACCAGAGTTTTTAATTATTATTCAACACTTGTAGGTAGGCTGCAATGTTCTGTATAATAAACAGCCCGAAAATATCAGAACTTTGAGTCCTAAAGTCAGCAAATCCTGGGTGAGTCACACATAACATCCTGGTACCTGTAACATAAAGCCAGCAGAATGCATAATTTCCCGAGCCCTGCAGAGATTGGGTGGTGGAGGCCTCACGAAAAGGGGGCAGATTTCATGAGAGAATTCAATCTCCAAGCCAGCTTTAGGGATGCGTGCCTCATGGGTCGGTACATCTGTGGACACCTGTTGTTTTGCCATTTGTTCTGCTGAATTGGAGACACCCAGAATCCCCCAGGCTGATCCCTCCACTTTCACACCTGTCCACATCTGAATTTTTCATTTGTGATCTAAACCAGCAGCACTCTCAGGGTCGCTAGAAAATCAGGCATGACTTTCTAGGCTGTGCTCTAGAAAAATAAAAACAAACCCTATTTTCCTGCTCCCAACTACCCAGGAAAGTTTTTTCTGCTCTGGTCATAGAACACAAAGTGAGAATTTTATCTTTGGAAGAGCTTAGTAAGAAAGCAGTGTACTGAAGACCATCTGAAGCCCCAACATGGCAAACTATGGATTTTGGGGATATCTTGGAACTGATGATTTGGGTTTACCACATGTTGAGACCTCAGAGTGAAGCCTGCTTTAAGAGTGAAGAGGGGAAAGGCGGATTTGTGAGTGGCATGGAGAGGACTGGGGTGGAGGTAGCTTGGAGAGACTGAGTTTTTTTTTTTTTTTTTTTAATGCAAAAATGTTCTCAGATTCATTTAATGGAATGTGTGTTTCTGATGCCTCTGGTTAATCCTGGTGTGGTAACTAAGTGGAGGAACTGGGGAAAGAAGGGAGCACACTGGGTATTACTGGTAACATTTCAGTTGGGGATGTTCAAGTATCTTCCTGGCTAGAACTGCGCCTATACCAAGTACATCCTGTTGCACTAGGTAGCTCCCTTTGAGGAATGGGCCTGTGTCAGGAAGTCAGAGGAAGTCAGGACTGGGCAGGAGACAGACTGGGGAAATTGACCCAGCTGTAGGAGTTAGCCCCCATGGAGGATGTAACACCCCCAAGGACATTCTATCCTGATTCTGAAAATAATAGCAAGACATCAAGAGCAGATGGACAAGACATATGGGCAGGTATGCCAAGTTCCCACCATGAACAAATAATATTAATAATGGATTAATAAATAGATCATCAGTGTTAATCTTTATTGAATACCTACTATATACTGGACACTATTATAATCACTCCATGTCTTAACTGATTTAATACAAGCCTGTGAGGCAGGCATTATTATTATTGTTATTATTATCATCATCATCATCATCATCATCACCTCTACTTTACAAATCAGGAATCTGAGGTACAGGGAAGCAAAGCAACTATCCCAAAGAAAAATAGAGCCGGGATTCAGGCAGACTTGCTTCAGAGCTCACACTCCTACCACTCTGCTGCTGCCTCTTGAAATGAGCAGACAGAGCCCTGTCTCAGTGATGTTGTCAATGTAGAGAGAATACATATATACAATAGGTCATTTCAATGCAGTGCCATAAATACCATAGCGGAGACATAATGTATATAAGGGTTGAACATGGAGCATCCAGGTCTCTTTAGGGAGTGTTTACTGGGAGCTGCCAATGGGTTGCATGGAAGTCCAAGCCCCATCACACGAGTGAGCCTATGAGCTCAAAGAAAGGCCAGTACCAATATTCTGAATAGCTGGATGTGAAATGCACAGGGAGGAGCACAGGATGGCCTTGCTGGGGTAGAGAGTGATAGGATCATGGCGTTCCCAGGATGACCTGCCAAAGAGTTTAGTTGTAGGTTGAGGGCTTTAAAATGTGTCTGGGGATTTTGTTGTTGTTGATGATGATGATGATGATGGTGTTTATGTTTCATTTTGTTTCCTGTCCATAATGAGTTCAGGAGTGACATGCTCAGATTTGCTTGTTAGAAAGATAGTTCAGGCTGCAGTGTTGAAGATGGATTGAAGAAGTGCAAAGTGAAGGCAGAGACACCAATTTGGAAGCTTTGCAAAGGCTTGCAAGGGATGATAAGGACTTGTGTTAGAGTGCAGCAGGAGGGACAGAAAAGATTGTTCAAAGAATTTCTTTGAATTCTATGAACCAATTAGATAAATGAGTGAAATATAGAAATAGGCAATGAACAAAAGAAGAATCAAAATGCCCTCCCCCAAAATGTATGAAGAGCTATTCAACCTAACAAGTTTGGGATGCAAAAATAAATCAATAAGAAACCATTTTCACCCTACAGATTAGCAAAGGTAAAAAAGGATGTTGATATCAAATAACGGAGCAGACATGAGGAAAACAGTGCTGTCATACATTGCTGGTGCAACTGTAAATTAATTCAGCCATTTATGGAAAGCAATTTGGCAGCAAACAATAAACTTGATGATGCAAATGCCCTGTGACCCAACAATTTCCCTTCTGATTATATGACCATTGAAATTCTTACACATGGGCACAAAGAAACATGTAGAGATGTCCATGACAGCAGTGATTGTACCGGGTAAAAAATATGTGGCAGATGAACTGCTTATATAAATAAAATGTACATGTGTACATGTCTTTTAAAAACATATATAAAATAGTCTATTCTTTATGATTAAATATATATGCATGTAAAAAATGATGACTCTGAGGCATGGAAAACCACAATAGTGGGAAGAGGGGAATTAAACTTGGGATTTGGGTTAAAAAGATTTAACTATGCCTATAATGTTTTATTATAAAAACAAAAAGATGAGAAAAGAGCAGAAGTAACTGAATAAAATGTTAACAACTGTGAGTTCATAGTGGAGAAGATGTGTTCATAATATTATTCTTTCAATTTGTCTATATCTTTTACACTTCTAAAAATAATCAAATATATGGGGATGCATGTATTCTTGGGGAGAAGAAAAGACATAATGATATTTGGGGTGTAAAATCAATAGGACTTGGTAACTGATAACAGGTAGGAATTGTGGGTGGTGGAAGGGAGAGGTTAGACTTCCAGGTTCCTAACTTGGTAAGGAGAGAATATGTTACCTTTCACTGAGATGAGAAACACAGGCAGAAAGAGCATAAAATTTGGAGGTTAGGAAGGGAAAGCACTGAGTTATATTTAAGGACCGAGTTTGAAAACCCAGCAACAAATGTTTGTGCGACCAAATCCCTCACTGGGCGGCAGAACATAATGGCTGCCACATTGCCCATGAAGAGCAGGCAGGAGCAGGGGTGTGGGTGGTGAGGGCCTATGGAAGGGAGAAAAGGGGAAATGAGCAGAAGCATAACTTTTTATCTAAAACCATTGCTTCTTTTATTTTACTATAGATTAATAGATGACAGACAGATAGATAGATAGCTATGTGTTTGTTTGAAAAAAGTAACCTATGTACCTGGGGAAAATATAAATTTTGCAAACAGGGGAAACCTCTCTCCAGAAGCAAGCACTGTATTGAGCTT